ATCATATGATATCATATAAAATTCATTACACAAAGTTGATCTACAATCTATTTTATATAAAATTAGAAATTTGTACACCCTACCCTTAAGATTAGCAATACTTTTATTAAAAAGATATAATTTTTTATTTCATTTTTTTAGAGTTTTCATACATCTACAGTACTTCGCTTTTTTTCACACCGTTCGTTTTTTTTTACATACCGTTTTTTTTCACATTTTTGTTATTTTCATACTTCATTGTAAGTTTTCATTTCTTTATTTTATTTTTATATTTTCTTTATTCTTTTTATTCTGTCTTGCATTTTTATATATTTTTTATTTAAGTTTATGATGCTGTATGATAACCGCTTTTCTTAAGAAGTATTCTTACCAGAGACGACAAGATGATGATCACTTTTCTTAAGAACCATTTTTACCAGAAATGACGAGACAATAACTAAGAAAGGTCAGTATCTCGGTATTTTGTTTGTTGGAACTAGATATTGTGGGGAAACTGTTCTTTTTATGCGTAAGGCATGAGGTATATCTAGTGAAAACAGATTCCGAAGGGATTAGTTAAGAATGTTATGATGTAACAATTAACCTTGGTTCTTATACGTTGCCCATTATTGCCCAAGTACCAACTGCGCGATAGCGGAAGCGATACCGGTAGGACCACATGATATTTGCCGTACTTGATTATTATTTATTAATTTTTTTTTTTTTTTTTAGTATACAATAGATTACCATTTATTAACATTTATTACAAGCAGGCCGATGATTTTCTGCGGGGATAAACTGTCGATTTCGTTCGTGACAAGGGGCCTTAATCAATGGATCAAAAAGTGATGGTGAATATTTAGTTTAATTTAGAGTTGCGATTCAAATCTTTTCTTGAATGATCGTTATGGGTTTGGGAATCGGGACATTCTCAATCAATTGTGATAGTATCAAACTCAAAAACTGGTCAAATTTATTAAACCAATCTATATCAATATTAATAGTTATTTCGGGAATGTATGTGGTAAGTAGCATATAATTATAACACTGCACCGACTTATTTGGTTCTCTCTTAAGCCGTCCAACATGCAAATTTGAACATTAAAATTTTAAAAATATACTTCTGTGCATTGAATTTGCGACTAGCGAATTAAAGAAGAGAGTTCGAATTATTTGAATCATTTGAATCAGTTTTTTTATTACAAATAATATTAGCTGGGAATATTGTGTCTAATAAATCCTCACCCATCAAATAAAATTTTTATTTATAAAATCTTTTTAATAGTATATATATTTATTTTAAAAACCGAAAATTTTTTAGTAAACACTAAGTGTATACAATATGTACTATATACAAGACCGATGATTTAAGTAAAGGCTAAAATATGGTACTGTGTATAAGCATTTGTAACCGTGTCTAAAATTCAGCATCTAAATTGTGGGGCGCTGCAGCGCACGCCAAATTTTCTTAAATGTGCGCAAAACAAATAGCTCCAATATATGAGTGTCGCTAAAGAACACCCGAAAATTTAAATATAAGTCGTATTTAAATTTTCGGGATTTCTTTTAGCGACACTCATATATAGACTATTTTTTGTACAATAGATATAGCGCACATTAAAGCTTAAAACATAAAATTTTAATGTGCGCATTCCGTCCATAATTTTCTAACATAATATGTACGTATTGTTAATCTTCAAGATGCGGAAATTTTTTAATGTGCACTTCGCCCCTTCCGCACATTAATTTTAGACACTGATTTGTAATTGTTTTTTTGGACTTTATTTTTTTATTTTCATAAAACCTTTTAGTATAATGAATAAATAATAATTCGTTAATGATGTGAGTTGAATCTATAACGAAGCTACTTGAGTGATCTTTTTGAACACTCAGTTAATGGTATAAAAAAAAGATGGTTTGCAGTAAACATTTTTTACTAATGAAAATATTTTATTCACGTAATAAATCTTATCATTTAAGTATTCATCACAATAACAAACACACTTGACCCGCTTAAAATATTAAAATTTACTTAATTTCAGACACTACCTAAGAGTAGATGTCTTTAATGATATTTAATATGATCTTTTCAGCAAAGGAAAGCATCGCTTGATTGGATAAGTTAATACTAACGAAAAATTGTCTACCAAACTTTGATGCTAAGATTTTTTAAAAACATAAAGTTATTTTTAATCATTATTCCGTAGAAGTAAAATTTCTAAATCTACATGCTTCTCAAAAGTGTTTGAGAGACAAAATAAGGTATAAATTTAATTTACCAAGTTTTTGTCCAAGCTGTTTAGAAGTTTCCTCTATCTCGTTTGTTAATAAAGTTGTGGACGACGTTGATAAGGTACTACCATTTAAAGTTGGTGGCGGCATAGCAACTGCTAAACTTCCTAAGACTTCATTTTCATCAGCACCAGCCCATATAAACGCCGACTCTTCAAAAGTTGTAACCTGAAAGTGTAAAGGCTGGGATTGGATTTGATGTGTTGAGTTATAGACTTTGAATCGTGGCGTCACGGACATGGAAAAAACATTGATCTAAATAGATCAATATAAATCGATATTTTTAGGTTAAATCGTTGGTAAATCGATATTTGCAATTCTTATATTCTGCCTTTTTTATATTTGCCTCATAGGAAGAAGCTCGTCTGATTGGCTAATTTTTATTGATCTTCATGTGATCACCCTTGATAATTAACCAATCAAATTAAATATCAGATATACTAAGAAACGAAGAAAAAACTTCATATAAAGCTTATCAATTAATCAATATAAAAGAATTAACAAATCTCATACACGTAAAGAATAGATGGACACACGTAAAGTAGGGTAAGAGCGGTATTTATTATTAATAAATTCAAAACTTATTAATACAATATACAATCTATAAACCGAAACTTATTTACGATTGACAAACCCAAACGCGTTGCAAGAACCGAATATACTCAAGTATATACTCGAACTTTCCTTTATTATAAAGCTTATTCCTATTCAAGCTAACTAATAGTTGATATGGTCCAATAAACGGTAGGTATATTTGTCTCCTAAGTAAAGTTTTTAGTTTGGGGAATTCTTTTGCACATTGAACGAAGGTGCTCTTCTAAAGCTATTAATGATGTTTGTTGTGAATTGATTTACATTAGCCAATCAAACAAACTTCTTTCTATGAATTTTTGCCCACATCATATCGATATTTTTCTGGGTCGTTCTGATGACATTGTGTCATCAACAAATGCAATTTTTATAAAATTTATTATATAGCTCTATATACAAAGTTATATTAATGTTATATAAATTTTTTATATAAACTTACAAATCCAATGTAAACTTATATCATTAGAATTTTTTTTTTTAATTTGGTGGCCCTGCCTCATGCTTTATTGAAAGTACCAAAAAATTAATATCAACAGAGTATACAATTTTTTATACTTTTTTATACTATAATCTTATATAAAGAGACTTACTTGACACTAAGGCTCAGGTGTGAACTGCCTAGCAGCATTATGCTTCATATCGGATACTCAACTTACTAAGGATTTGACCCCAATGATTACTAGCTAGAGCAGCTGTATACTTCATTAAGAAGTCTAACAAAAGAAAAAAACAAATAGAAAAAAACACAGAGGTATAAAGAATAATAATCAAAAATATAAGCAAGAAGATAAGGGAGAAGAGGAATAGTAAGACAAAAAAAAGAATGACTATCTTAATATTACATTTATAAGCCTGTAAGAGGCTTTAAAAATTATATACTAAGATTAAACATTAAAAAATTTTTTAAGCTGAAAGGTTATAATTACTAACAATTAATCAATTATTATTAATTAAATTTAATCAATAAAAACTAACAGTGGTGATTGTAATTGTTAGCTATCCTTATTATTATTTTTATTTTTTTTTTTTTAACCTTTGCAATGTCGTGGAAAGGCAAATTTTTATTAGATATATTAGTAGTACATTTTTGGTTAACAAGAATATATTTTAGCCATACCTGTACCTTTTGAGCGTCTAATTAAGTAGTTATCTATTACTAGGGTCTACATTAGATGCCATACCTATAATCTACTATTACTTGAGCTATCCAATTAAACTCTCTGGTGTTCTCTGTCCTGCATCACCACCTTAATTATGCCGACCCATAATCTTGTGCTGCTTTATTGAAGACCACCCAGATCAATATGTGCTATACTACTTGTGTCCTAATTCAATAGATAACCCAGTAGAGTTCTTATACTTACCGAGTTATCTTAGAAAAGGTGTAGTATATACTCTTCTAATCTTTCTATATCCTATACATTTCCAGACTAGGCTTTTTTAGTAACTTATGCTGAGTTCTAGGACAAGTATTTGCAAGCTAAGGCTGCTACAGTTACCTACTACTGCTCTTGTAAAGTTCACCCAAACCTTGGTATCTACTTTACAGACTTCCTTCCATACTTTTGTAAACCCAAACTTCTAATTCGATGGTCCAAAAGGGTGAAACTCTTCCTTTGGTTATCTGACAGCCTGGTTGGAATAGTGTCTTGCTAAACACCTCAGTCCTATTCAGTTTTCTAATATCCAGTTGATCATCTTTTATATAGTAACTGTCAAAGATCTGTGCTACCTCTCCACTTAGGTCTTGCTAAGCAGGCTTCCGTATCCTGTAAATTTGTTGGATTTATCTGGTAGCTTCACTCAGGTTTTGTGTAACTTATACATCACACTACATGTTCCACTACCTCCTAGTACAAGCTGGTATGACCACCATTACAGGTTCTATAACCAATAGAATACAGTCTTCCAAATGTATTTTCTATAAATTCGAATTTTTATTGCTGGTGAAATTCGAACTCTAGTCCTGCTGCTTGGGGGTGTGACAACTTGCCAACTTTACTAAGTTACCACACCCTTATCCTTATTAATTTTAATTAATAATATTATTAATCATTAATTTACTATAAATGATTATTATTGATTAATTCTTTATTGATTTATCAATAAAAAATTAATTGCTAATAATTGTTTATAGTAAATTAATAATTAGTAATATTATCAATTAAAATCAATAAGAATATCTGATGATTACAATCACTACCATCAGTTCTTATTAATTAAACTTAATTGATAATAATTAATTAATTGTCTGTAATTATAACCTATTAGCTTAAAAAAATTCCTGATAATGATAGCTATCAATTTTTATCTAAATCAATTTTTATTATTAATAATAATTATTGATTTTTATTTGATCGATTTTTATTATAAATGATAACTATTAATTTTTATTTATATTAATTTTTATTAATATTTATCATATAAATGATAACTATTGATTTTTATTTATATCGATTTTTATCATAGATATAATTATTATCGATTTCTAATCTATATCAATTTCTAATAATGGTAGTATTACTAATCGATTAATATCTTTAAATTATAATTGATACTTATTACTCTAAAAAATTTACTGATAAACATATTAGCAATTTGTTTTAACTTCAAAATTGGCCAATTATAATCAAAAATTATCAAAAAATATTTTATAAAAATTTATTATAGTGCAAATTTTCACAAAAATGGTCTTTTAACTAGCCTTGTATTTATAATTAAATATCTAGAAATTTGTAAAATTCATATATTTAGTTATAAGCTAAAAGTAAATTAAAAATACTGTTTTTAAAAAAAAAACTCTTTCCCGTAAATCCTAATTTCATAGTAAAAATAAATTCAAAAAAATAAAAATAAAAATACAGTAAGATAGTTAATAATTATTCTAGAAGAAAAGACTAAAACTAGCAACATACACAAAAGACCTTTAGAACTAGAGACAACAAACACAACAAAAGTACT